ATCTTAGTCCTCCGGGAAGCAGACCCGTGCTTCTCAGACTGCAGTGGGCATCAGGACCCTCTGGTGGGCTTCCCCAAACAGATGGCTGTGCCCAGCCCCTGAGTTTTGGAATTTGTAGGCAGACCTGGGACGGGCCTAGGTTTTGCATTTCTAACAAAATCAAATACGGTGCTTTTGTTACTGCTAAAGAATCCGAGCTGAAGAGGTTGAGTTTTTCCTCTAGTCTCCTTTGTGTGTTCCACTTCTAGTTCTTAGTGTTGGGAGGGGCCTCCCGAGTCCCAGGTGATGCTGGTGCTACCTGGCCAAGAACCACGGAGGTAGATGCTATTACTCCCGTTAGGCAGTTGAAGAAACTGAAGTTCAGAGAGGTTAAGTTCCTTCCCTAAGGCCATTCAGCCAGAAAGCAGTCTAGTAGATATTCACGGAGATCTGCCTGGTCCTGGGCTCTGAACACTCTTCCACATCCTCCTCCTGGTTTTCTGCCTCCCCCCACCCCTGGGCCACTACACCTGTCCTGTCTTTAGGAACTAATGCCAGCTGCGCTATGGTTGTACCCGGCTGGCACAGCCAGCCACAAGCACTAAAATGCAGGCATTTTGATAGCCACAGGCCAGGATCCCCACGAACACACAAACCTCAATTCCGCAACACAGAAGAGATGAGAAATAAGTATGAGTAGGCAGACCATACCACATCCTAACAGACCCTGGATGTCACAACTTCAGTTAGAAGCAACTAGAACAACAGCACAGATTTAATAAATGATGGTGGGTTGGATTGCTAGCCTCAAGGGAAATCCCTACTGCATAGGGCTGGGGATTCAGTGCCCTGGTATGAGAAACATGTCCCGGTTTTTTCTTGCTCTCTCTCCTCACAGGGCTCAGTGCCTCTTGTCATTCATCCTCAGGACAGCAGATGGATTGGGGGCAGGGGGTAAGGTCACTGGGGTGTTTGGAGTTGGCTGAGCTTCTTGCTTTTGGTAAAAACAAGAACTATTATTCTTTAAATTTATTTATTTTGAGAAAGAGGAAGAGAAAGAGTGGAAGATGGGGCAGAGAGAAAGGGAGAGAGAGAATCCCAAGCAGGCTCCGAGCTCAGTGTGGAGCCCAACATGGGGCTTGAACTCACAACCATGACCTGAGCAGAAACCAAGAGCCGGATCTCAACTGACTGAGTCACCCAGGAGCCCCAAGACAAGTGCTATTCTTAACTAAATCAGCCTTTTAATTGCATGTGCTCCCTATAACTGTTGTTTTAAATTCTCCCTTTAGCTCTTGGTCTGCTTCCCAAACATTTGGAAGTGAGGTCACGAGTTGCCTTTATCTGCACTAAAGAATAGAAAGTAAAGAGTTTTTCTCCCAACCTCCCCCCTTGTTTTGCGTTTAGCCCTCAGAGTTTGGGAAGGGCTTAGGAAGCATGTCATGTGTCAGGGAAAGCTTGTTTATGGCAACTTAGTGTTCCAGAAGATTTGGGACAAGGTGGGTGGAGGCGAGAGTCTGGAAACCAGAGAGGTTTGCCCCGGTGAAGGATCCCTGCCTGATTCCCAAGGAAAATCCTCTAAGACAGGGAATCCATTGTCCAGAACAAAGGAGAGCAGTGAGGGGATCACTCAGAGCCCAGGCCTTCCGGCCGCGTGGCAGAGACGCTGGGCAGGAGGGGGTGGGAGGGGCTGCAGCCCCCCTGCCCGGCACCCCCAGGCCACACCACCTCCTTCCAGAGTTCTCTGCATCATGGCTGGGCTGGCCCCGCGGATGCCCTGCAGGGCCCTGACTCTTGGAGAGTGGGACGCCCGCCCCGTGGTCCTGTCCATCCCATCTCCTTTGAAGGCTTATCTCACTTCCCCTGAATCTCAAGCAGACGGTGCTCACTCACATGCCAGAAGCACCACAGCGACACCTGGTATGCTCAGGATGGGGCACGCACGCATCCCCCCAACCCCTCATCTGACATGCCCTCGGGGCATTAGCTCCAGCACACTCATTCCTTTTGGCTGCTCTGTCATTTTGAACACACTAAGAGGTTTTGGGGGGTGTTTTCGTGGGGGAAAATTAAAAAAAAAAAACTTCCAGGCTACGGATGAGTCTCCCAGCCAGCTAGAACTGGTTAACTCTTTTATTGAATGTAACACTTGTACAGAACAGGGCATGCATCATCCGCTTAACAGCCTGATGAGCTACCCCCATCTGAGCACAGCACCCACACCAAGGCACGAACCGTGACCAGCACCCTCCTCACGCCTCCTTCCAGTCACCTCCACCCCATGGGGGCTCCAGCTCTCTACCCTCACTTCCAGCAGCAGAGAGCGACTTCAGCAGGCTGGAGTTTATATCGCCCGCTCGCAGGACAACCTGACTTGAAGTGCCTTCCGGTCCAGCAGGCGGAGCTGCCCGGGCTCAGCGGGACTGATCTGGGACTGAAGTGTGGTGGAGGGGGGGTGGCTGCGCAGCAGCTCCAGGCCTGGCCGACGCACCCAGCTGCTGCTCCAGCCACCCCCGAGGGGCGCCCAGGACCGTGGGTCCCATCTTGGCTATCAGGTGGTCCTCCTGCCTCCAGGCCGGCCATCGGGGAGCTCAGCCTGGTGACTTTGTGAAGGGGAGAAGGAGGGAGGGCTCTCTTTCCATGTGCTTCTAGAAGTCCTACGCTGTGTTCCAGGCCTTGGGAGGCCGGTGGATCAGGATGACTCAGCAGCATTTACGGGCAAGTAGCTGAGGTCTGCACCCTGGGAAAACTAGCATGTGGCATTTTGGACTTGCCTCATTCAGGGCAGCCCTCACTGTGTGGAAACCATTCCCCATCCCCCCAGCACCCCCACCAGGCCCGCTGTTGCCCGGAAAGGCTGTGAGCACAAGTGCCAGCTGCCAGCCTGGACCTGTCCCCAGCCATCCTTCCCCCGTCCTCCTCCATCGGCCCCCACTGAGGGCCGACCCCACTTCGCGGGGACTCATTTTGCTCCTAAGAAGCCAGATGTGTCGTTGTGCTCACCCTGTGCACGCCTCTCACCATCAGCCCCTGGCCTCTGCTTCCTCAGCAGATGGCTGCTCCAGTCCTGCAAGGCTTGAGGGACAGAGGGCGGCCAGAGCTCGTGGCCTGGAAGAAATGCTTCTGCACCGCTCCTGACGGCCCCCCCTCCCCGCACTGCCCCTCCCGAGGAGCCCTGGGGCCCAGACTCTGTCATCTTCCTTTGTCATTTCCCTTGCCCTGCCCTTTCCTTCCCTCTTACTGCTGTCTCCAAACTGGATGGTAAGACATGAAATGGGAATTCCACAAAGGCCTGACACCTTCCTGCCGGCTCCCATCCTTCCCTTGCCAGTCCCTACCACCACATTAATCTCCCTAAAACACAGATGATTCGCGGCCCTGCCCCTGCATCTATGGGACAAGGTGGGAAGGTTTTGCCCTGCCCCTGAATGCCTTCCTTGTTCAGTCCAACCTATCTTCCCAGCCTTAGAGTTAATCACTCCCCTGTAACCCCTGTTTAAAAGTTTATTTATTTATATTGTGAGACACAGTGTGTGTGTGTGCAAGGGGCAGAAAGAGAGGGAAACAGAGAGAATCCCAGGCAGCACAGAGCCCAATGTGGGGGCTTGATCTCCTGAACCGTGAGATCATGACCTGAGCCAAAATCAAGAGTCGGATGCTTAACTGAGTGAGCCACAGAGGCCCCAAGTCTTTCTGTACCTGTTGCCCCTCAAATACCATCTTATTTCTTGCCTCCACTCATGTGACACCATCATCATTTTGGCCACCACCACTTCCCTCCCACCACACTGGATCCTCTCTATCCTCCACGGCCCAAGGGAAAGCCTTCCGTGACTATCCAGCCCTAGTCTTCTCTATCCTCCTCTGAACCATCAGAGCACTGAACCATTTATTTATTATCTGTCATTATCTGTTTAGCTTTGAATTGTGAGCTTAAAGTATTCCCAGGTGCAGACCACAGCCCACCCTTCTAAGCACCATGCCTTGCACACAGTAAGTACATAAGGGGTGTCGGTAATGATGGAGCCATGTGGTGCTAGAGCCAAGGGGACCTTGGCCTGGTGGTTCATTGGCTAATTAGTTCGATGGCTTGGCTTTGCCTCCTGGGTTAGCAAACACCCAGAGGCTGGCTTTTGCAAATCTAAGTCAGACCTCTCTCTGGATTCTGCTTATACTGTCACCATCAACACCTCTGCCTGTCACCACTCCTCCTGTGCCAGTGAGGCAGTCCCAGCCTCCTCGCTGCACCAGTCTATCTTGCACATTGCTTGTGACCGTCCCCAACGACATTATGAACATTCTTGCGCTTGTCAGTGGACCTGGTACTTGGCTTCCATTCCCACCTCAGCTGATGACCAAATTTCCAGTTCATTGCAACACACCAGCTGGGCTGATTTCAAGGCCTGCCAGAAGTGGCTAGTGTCATTCCTGAGCCAATCCCACAGAAACCCCATTGCATACTTGATGTCCCCCGCTCTCCTCACGCACGAGGCAGGCATCTCTCTTTCATGAAGGACTAACTGTCACTACCCCTGAGCTACGCCTGCTTACAAACATGGCAACAAGAAGTTAATCCCAGACACACTGACAGCTTAAATCCTGGGGCCTGAGCCAAACTTCCAGAAAGGAGCCCTTTGTTCTTTGTTTATTGTAGAATAAATATCCTCCGGAGGAGAAGGTCTCTCTCCTACCCAAGGCCCCTGCAGTCTGGAGGTAACCCAGGCACATTCACCTGGGAGGTTGGGTAGAAATCCTTGCCGGAAGCGGGAAACCTTAACGCTAGGATTCATAGTTTACGTGCACAGCGCAGGCTGCTTGGCTTGGAGAAAGCGCTGTGTGGAACCATTCTTTCCAGAAGCCTGGGTGCTCCCTTTTAATGATGTCAGAGTTGCTCTTCTCAATACTTCCCCCACCCTGTACCCTCCACAGATCATGGAGTTCCTGGCTTTCTCATGAAATACAGCCATCTCCTCAAAAAAAAAAAACAAAAAAAAAAAACAACATGCGAGATCTCTACTCACCGAAATAGCTCCACTTGGATCCTGCAAAGAACAAAACAAGGCAAAGTAAGTACAGCTGAGCTTGAGCAAGTTAGAGAAAACTACAGATTTTATTTTGAAACGGGTGCGGTTGCAAAGGAGGCAGACGCCTGGACATAAAACGTCGTCTGAGTCTGCATCAGAAAAACGGGTTCCCAGAGTCGCATGCTCCAGAGGGAGGCGCAAGGTCATGGTTTCCGGCAGCGGCTCAAGCATTAGGGAGGAGGCTTCTTGATTAGAAGCCTCCCAGATCTTTTTTTTTTCTTTTAATGTTTATTTATTTATGAGAGACAGAGCACAAGCTAGGGAGGGGCAAAGACAGGGAGACACAGAATCCGAAGCAGGCTCCAGGCTCTGAGCTGTCAGCACAGAGCCCGACATGGGGCTCGAACCCACAAACCAGAGTTCTTGACCTGAACCGAAGTCAGACGCTTAAGCGACTGAGCCACCCAGGTACCCCAGAAGCCTCCCAGATCTTAAGCCAAATTTTAGTTTCTGAATACGTATGAAAGGCTCAAAACCCAGGCCCCCAAAGGGTGCACAGTGAGAGCTCTCTTCTGCCTGCTCTCCCTGCTTGCCCTAGAGGCAGCCAGTTTCATGCGCTGATGGGGACATTTTCACCGTCTGACCACCCACACCTGTGTAATCACATTCTCCCTCCCCGTTTCCCCACAAACATCAGCCTCCTGGAAGCACAGTTCTGCACCTTGCTGTCTCCCACTGAACAGCACACCCCGGAGAGCAGTTCACCTCGGTGCATAAAGAGGAGACAAGTTGTCTCAAAAGGCATGTTCTTCTTGGAGGAAGCTGCCACCCTCACCCGAGCTAGGAGGCTAGGGGCGGTGAGCATGGAGAAGTTCTGCCGGGAAGTGGAAGGTAATGGAAGCCGCCTACCCCCTCCCGCTCCATGCCCTTCACAGATCCTCTGTTCCCACGTCAAAAGGCAGTTGGAGAAAAGAGGCTGCACAGGGGCACTTTTAGTACTCTGCCTGACACCTCCCTCGTCACCTCCAAAAGGACACAGAGACCCTGAATGGAGACTCAGGGTGTCTCGGGGGACACCACCAGGGAGAGGGACTCTCCAAATCCTAAGTGCCTCTCCTAGCTTCTGTGGATGCCTCCATCATTTTTGGCCCACAGGAAGCAGTTGGAAGAAGGTGCTCACGTCCCCCTTTTCTCCTGGGAACTGATTTGCAGTGAAGCTTTTTTACTGACCAGCAATCTGCTCCCTTACCACAGCTGGGCATTTCCTACAAAATCGGGGATTTTGAAAAGCTAAAAGAGTTTAAAATGGGGGTGGGGCACCTGGGTGGCACAATTGGTTACGTGTCGGACTCTTGAGCTTGGCTCAGGTCATGATCTCACAGTTTGTGAGTTCGAGCCCCGCATCGGGCTCTTTGCCATCAGCATGGAGCCTGCTTTGGATGTTCTGTCTCCCCCTCTCTCTGCCCCTCCTCTTCTCATTCTCTCCCTCTCTCTCTCAAGATAAACTTAAAAAAACTTTGGAATTCTTTGAGTCTCCTTCTCTATCTGTAGTGTGGGAAAGAAGGGGGTGTTCAGACCCCTTAGAATATCCAATGAGTACTTAAAAACCTCTTGCCCATGAAAATGTCTATGGGCATGGCCACACAAGATTTCACAGAGGTCCACAGCCCCTCTAAAACCTGCTCTGGACCCCACAGGAGTTAACAGCCCCAAGATTAACCTCCCCTGAATTAGCAATTAGAGGAGGACATTCAGAATCATGGGGAAACCGAACCTGTATGCTACCCACAAGTGTACCGCTATGCCTTTCATTGAAACAACGGTGATAAGGAACAAAGGAGGCATGGCCCTGGAATCAGGCTACAGAAGACCTCAACCCTCTTTTCTGAACATTTCCCTTCACTGGTTTTGCCTGAGGGGTTCATTATAAAAACACACTCATGGATTTCAGAGATAGAAAACATCAGATTATTGCCACTAGGGCTGGGCGGCGCACTCGGAAGCTCGGGATCTAGAAGTTCACAAGTAATCGGGGAGTTCATCCTCACCACTAACCTGGAGAGACGGGCCACTTTGATGAGCCTGGAGACCACTAGAAAAACAGCCGCTGCCTGTGAGCAGTCCTTGTGCCTTGGCCACAAGTTTAATTGCACCTGCCCCCAAATCAAATCATAGCCTCAGTATTCCACATCTTCTGCTATCCTCCCTGAACCTGGCCAGGCTGAGGTTTTCCCTATTGTAGCTCATCCTCTGATGAGGCATCTATGTGATACTTTGGAAAGCTCAGGGAGCAGAGGTATAGAGTGGCCATCTGGGACCATTAAAGGACCCACAGGACCAGGGACTCGGTCTTTAAAATGCAGCAGCATCTGGAGCAACCTTTCCTTCCCTCCTCTCTCTGAGCAGCCCTGCCTGGTCCTTAAGACCAAGACATAAATGGCAGTGTCTGGAAGGACTCAGTAGCTGGAGGCTGGGGAGAAGAAGCACTATAAAATGAAGAGGAGGGTAGTCCGAGGGGGAGGAGGTATCAGATGAAGGTTAGGGCCCAGCCTGGTTCATGTTCAGCTCAAAACTAACCCGAGGCAGACTTTCTAAAGGGTGTGTGTGTGTGTGTGTGTGTGTGTGTGTGTGTATTTGCTTTCCTAGAAGTAACACCTCCTGGTTCCTTGCCTCTAGCCTTAGTCTTTTAAAAAAAATTTTTTTTTAATGTTTATTTATATTTGAGAGAAAGAGAGCACAAGCTGGGTGGGGGGTGGTTTGCAGAGAAAGATGAAGACAGAATCAGAAGTAGGCTTCGGGCTACTTCTCAGTGCTGACACCTGAGAGCCTGATGCGTGGCTTGAAGTCACAGACTGTGAGATCATAACCTGAATCAAAGTTGGACGCTTAAACAACTGAGCCACCCAGGAGCCCCTAGGGGCAGGAGTCTTAACAGGACTCACCTGACCAGACACAGGAGGCCGGCCAGGCCAAGGCTCCTGCAGCTACACTTCAGAGGCTTCCTGAGGAAGCAGGCTTTTCCAGAAGGAAAATTTTCCCCTTCTGGGAAAGGTGATCCTTTCTATCTGTTAGAGGTGGGAGGCTCAGCTCAATGCCTATTAGAACCTGCAGGCCCGCTCTGTACTGGGCCGGGAGAATGCCCTGAGGGCTCACTGAGGAAGTGGTAGTGACAAGGATCCAGGCCAAGGGTTCAGGGTCCTATCTTCTTCCTGTCCTGGGTGCTAGAACCTTCTCTGAGTAACCATCATCTGGGAGGCTAGACTGTCTAGCTCTCCATACTAGGTTCAACAGAGCAGGCTCTGCAGAATTCATTGAAATGTTCCCCCACAACAACTAAAAATTCTAGGGTTTTCTCCAGAAGACACTTGACCTCACTTTACTGCATTCCCTGTTTCCTGATTCCAGTCATTTTTTTCAGACATTCACCAATGAAAAATACTGGAAGTTTAAGTGCTCCAGGTGGAGGGCACACCACACTTTGACCTCATTACCTAGCTTCACCCCCCTCCATTCCCAACCTTGGGTTAATACGGACACTCTACATCTCAGTGATTTTTGCTTTGACCTTGTCCCCAGAGGCAGTTAAACAGCCAAGAAACCTGCATGAGGAATAGCAGAATAAAACCTGTGTTCTTAGACTTGGAGAGGGGAGGTAGGCAGGCTGGCTATTCAGTGGGGGTGAATGTGGATTTTTTACTACAAGCTTCCCCCAACCCCTCCCAACTTGGAGGATGGGGGGCGGGGGGACAAGGGAAAGGAAAGGATGGGGGTGGGCAAGGAGAAGAGGGGAAGAAGAAAAGGAGGGGAGGGAGGAAGAGACAGCAGGGATGGGGAACTGCCCCAGAATGAGGGGAGTAACAGGCTTTCTAGAAAGTGGGCCAGTAAACAGCTGTTTCTCTCCCGTCTTGGAGCAGCTTGGAACTACAAGGGAGATTTCTAGAGGATTTTTTTTTTAATGTTTTATTTATTTCTAGGAGAGAGAGAGAGACAGCGTGAACAGGGGAGGGCCAGAGAGAGAGGGAGTCACAGACTCTGAAACAGGCTCCAGGCTCTGAGCTGGCAGTCAGCACAGAGCCCGACGCGGGGCTCGAACCCACGAACCGCGAGATCATGACCTAAGCGAAAGTCGGACGCTTAACCGACTAAGCCACCCAGGCGCCCCCTACAAGGGAGATTTCTAGTAAAACTTCAGGTCTCAGTACAGCCTTCCTGAGAGGGGAACACGTGTCTAAGTCTGCAATTGTAACAATTTATTTCCACTTTTATATAACCCCTTTCTCCCACCAACCTTCTATTTCTCCTGGGCCAGATAAGGAAAATAATATCAAGTATATCTTGCCAGCCTGTGGATTTGAGCTGAATTAAGAGTAATGCCAAAGCTGCAGCCGGCCAGCTCCCTGCCCCACGGGTACCGTGACCTCCAGGAGGAGGGTCAGAGCTTTCAGGCTACGGAAAAGGTCTGATGTCCCACCACCACTGCCTAGTGGAGGAGGATCCATTTCCAGCCGTCAGAGTCACTGTCAGCCCTCCTATAAATGTCTCAATCTAACCTCAGTCCAGGAATCACAGCACCTGCAAATGTCCCTACAACTTGAGACAGACTCTGTCGAGGGCAGGAGCCACCGTCAGTTGCCCAGAAGTTTCCACAAAAGGTCACCATCTGCCGCCAAGAAAAGTGCTCACCCAGAAACTGGAGAGGCAGGCAGCAGGTTGGCATCCTCCTGCTGCTCCTAAGGATTAACTAACCTTGACCTTGGCTGCTCACCCAACCTCACTGCCTTGACCTGAGCCTTCAGTTCAGGTCCTCCCCGCTCTCCTGCCATCCCATTGGGCACCCTCAGCCTCCAGCCCTTCGGGGTTAAGGGCCCTAATTACACTCAGAAATGAGGTGTGTAGGCCTCCTGGGCGCGCACACACACTCAGGATAGTAGAGCCGTCCTGGAGCAAAACAATTATTAAGGATGCGATGCATCATCCCTTAGACGTGGAGGTAAAACGCCATGGTAAAGAGTCTCTCCAAAGAACATCCTCCACTGTTGGAAGGTTCTGCAACTGGGGCGCGGCCACCCCCTCCCGGTACCCACGCGGCTCAGAACGCCGCCACATTCACTCCTCTACCCGCTCCGCACGTGCACCGGGTCACCGTACTTGAAACCCCGGCTCCCTTTCTCCTCCTCTTCAGCAAGTTCCCAAGCCACCCCTGCCTAGCGGGAGCGGGCGGAGGCTCAAAGAACACACAAACAGCGTGTAATCCGCAGACAACGTGCTTCCCCCGACCGCAACAGGTCGAGCCTTCCCAAGGAAAACGAATTTCCCAAAACGCATTTTCTGAATTGTCTAAAAAAATACGCATTTGAGAGTATGCATGTCCTTCCCTGCTCCCCCGAAATGATTGTGCTTGAGAGAGAGAGAGAGAGAGAGAGAGAGAGAGAGAGAGAGAGAGAGAGAGAGGAGGGGGGAGCCCCGCCGGAAATCTTCCGACCAGGTGTAGCTGAACGCCTGGGACTGTGAGCAAAGAGGAGGCAGGCACTTTACCGTTGAGCGGGGCCGGCCCGGCCGGCGGTTCCTTTAAGCACAGGAGCAGGAGCACGGCGGCGGCGTGCAGGCTGCGGGGCATCGCTGGCGGCCGGCGCGGCGGGGGCGCCGCCTGGACGCCCGCTCCGTCCGCTCCCGGGCTCTCTGCGCTGGGGACCGCGTGCGCACAGCCCCGCCGCTCTGCGAGCGCGTCTGCTCTTCGGGCTCCCGGCTCCCCGCGGGCTGCTTTTATGCAGCGACTCAGCCCCAAACACGTGATGTCGTCGTGCGCGGGGGAGAACGCCCTGCCTTCGGGAGGTCGGGTACCGGGGGTTGCGGGGTGAGTGGTAGCCCGACTTGAGCCGCGCTCCGCGGGGCAGCGCGGACCTGGGAATCCGGGTCTCGGGGAGGGGCAGCGGACAGGTGCGGGGTGGGGGCGGGGGAGGCGCCCGCCTCGGCCCCATCCCCATCGGGAGGGGTGCGGCTGGGAACTGGCTCCGCTGGTCACTGCTTTAATCTGTGGCCGCCCTTAAGTGAGAAGCGCCCTAAGTAGAACGCTGTTTGGACAAGGGCCTCCTTCGCGACGCCCAGTTGTGTGCCTGCCTGGACCCTGCGCGTGTCAGGGACTGGGAAGGACAGCTAAGGGGCTGCATTCCCGTTCAGAATGTCTGCAGGTCGTACAGTGCAGCCTGATAAGGTCTTGCTTTTGAACTTGGACGCAAAGAAGTGAAAGAATTAAAAATAGGTAAATAGGGGACATAGTGAACAGCACTAGGAAGCAATTAGACTCCCTAGTAACGTGTTAAGTAGACGAGGCTCGTATGCCTTCATACTACCAATCCGTTCTCTTCGAAGCTGGGGGGAGGGCCGTCCCTTCTGTGGGGTAGCAGTGGAAGGAAAAGACTTACATTGTTTATTGAGTACCTTTTAGGTGTCAGGCACTGTACTAGGCATTTTGCATCATGCATTCATGTCTGAGTTCTGCTTCTAATGCATGTTATCACTTGTTGCTCATTTCTGCCCCTTTTTCTCACATATCTGTATTCTTTTTGAGAGAGAGAGAGAGAGAGAAAGCTCGAGCAGGAGAGGGGCAGAGGGAGCAGAGACAATCTTCAGCAAGCTCCGTGCCCAGCACTAGCTGGACATGGGGCTCAATCTCATGACGGGAGACCACGACCTGAGCTGAAATCAAGAGTCCCATGCTTAACTGACTGAGCCACACAGGCGCCCCTGTGTTCTTTGAAGTATGTGTATGCACACATCTAGTCGTATCCACATGGTTCTGATCCATGTTCACTTGTTAAGTCAAAGGCCTTATTAACCTGCTGCCTCCATAAATCTTCCTCCTGCTGTTCGCACCACTTGCCATTCCCACATCCTTGTCATTTGTTCTTTTGGCTTCCCTGGGCCGTCGCAGCGTCTGCACTGCTCTCCATGCTCAGTTTCCTTCCTGCTCTGCGACCTTGCTTGTTCTCTTGGCTCCTGCTGCCTATAGACACTGCCCAGACCACACGGTCTGCTGAAGGTCACCCACCAGCCCTGGTACACGCCCCCCGCGTTTGTGACTCGGCCCATCCTGCCCTCTTCTCTCAGCCACAGCAGCCTGACCAGCCTCGCATCTCGCCGGTCTGTGCTGACTCTCAGCCCATGTGGACTCTCAGGCTGGCCCCGGTGACCAGTGAAACCACTTGTCTGTGCAGGTTTTGGAAGGAAAGAGCAGCTTCTGTGCTGACAGTCACCAGGAAGCACCGGCCACCCGCGTTAGAAGGGGTGCTACTGCTCTGCCCCCAGCAGCTCAGCTACTGTTTGCATTAATCAAGAGCCCTGAAGGCTTTTTAAGGAAGTAGTTACAAAGACAGTCTTGTTACCAGCACTTCCAGACCACAGTAGGCTTAAGGATGACCTTTTCTGCCTGCGAACTTGATAAAGAGCCTTGAATAAGCTCCAGAGCAGCAAGTGAGCAGTTCACTTAGTCCTTAGACATCCCTGCCTCTGATTCGTCATCAAGGGCTTTAGAAGATTAAATGTACTTGAAGGACACAAGAGATCCTGCAGGCTCAGAGCTGCCCATAGGAACCAGTGCAGGTGAAATCGCTCACCCCACGTCCCACAACGACTTAAAGGTAAGGTGGGCCGTGCACACACATTTTGTTACTCTCAGTTCCGGTGTTTTCCCATTATGTCTGGATAAACGTTAAGTTCAGTTTCTCCTTGAACATGCATTTATAAGTCTTCTCCAAGGATCCTCCGAGATCGAGGTGGAGAGGTTTAGAAAAGAGGGGGGATTTAACAGAACAGTAAGGTAAGATGGTGAAGTGGGCTTGATGGAGAGAAGGAGAGGGCTGGGATGTTTACTGCATATCTAGAACAGAGACATGGTTAATTAGTAGAGAATGGATAGCAAGCAAAAGAGAGTTGGGAATATCAACTGAGATCCAATTGCCCTGATTTGAGCGATTTTTTTTTTTACGTTTAGGGGATCAGAAAGGGGGAAAAGCAAACAGGAATGGATGGAATGACCAAATTCTAAAGTCTTAAAGCTGAATGCCAAGCACCCCCTTGCCCCCCAACCAACAGTCCCAACCTAACCAGCTTATGTTCCCAACTCTGGGAACCTTCCGTGCCAGAGGCTCCCTGAAGCCTGCGTCACTGGGCGTGCATGGGCTCGCTTTGCTGTCATCAGATGGGGCTGTCAACTACCAATAAATAACCCATTACTCAATGGGTTAAGGTGGAAAATGGACCTGTGGCCCTCAAAATGTGGCAACTGGCCACCAAACAACATGCCCAGACAGAAGGCTCCAGGGAGAGGAGCTCCTGTATAATGTCACCATCTGAATTGACAAGAGGGCGAGGCTGCTGAGTCAAAGGGCAGAGAAATGTGGGGCAAAGGAGCTCGAGATTTGGTGTCGGGAGATCTGGGCTGAAGTGCCTGCCCCACTACTACTAACCAAATGGCCTTGACAGTGGTACAACCTATTGAAACTTCAATTTCCTCCTCTGTATAGCGCACATTGTAATCCTGGCCCCTGGGTGACTAGCAGAAATGATATATGGCCGCAATGAGGTAGGGCGAGTGCATCCATTCATTCACCCTCTGTGCGCCAGGCACTGTGTTAGGCACTCTCCTTGCTCTTGGAGAGTGTGGAAACTCATAAACCACTATATTGGATTGGAATAAGTGTGATGGAAGGCTGATATATAACCAGAAGGGATCTACTCTGTCCTGGGGCAGTGAGGGAAGACATCATCCGTGTAAGAATTAGATTCTGTGACTTCATAAAACCTCTGAAACACACTGCTAATGCCAGCCTTTTCTTCCCCAGAGCTGGAATCATTTGCCCATATACAAGCTAATCTGTAGGCATAAGCATTCCAGTATAAAGAATTTCTTAAGGTAAGAATTGACTCTTCAAACAGGGTCACTTGACGTGTCCCAGTGGCTCAGTTGGTTAAGCATCTGACTCTTGATCTCAGCTCAGGTCTTGATCTCAGGGTCCTGAGTTCAAGCCCTGTGCTGACCCCACTCTGGGCATGAAGCCTACTTAAAAACAAGCAAACAAATGAACAAATGGGGTCACCCAGGTGGGAATGCACCTAACGAAAGGATGAGTGGGAGAAGTAACATTTTTTGTGTACCCACTGTTTGGCGCTGTGCATGGCACTTTATTCTTACAACAGCTTGTGGGGATAGTGTTAGGATTGTCATTTTACGGATGAGGAATCTGAGGCTTGGCAAAGTTAACTCCTTTCCTTGAACGAGGCTGTTGCGGGGCAGAGCCTGAATCCTCAACCAGATGCTTCTCTGTCTCCAAGGCCCAGGCGGGCTCTTTTCACGGCTCTCCTAACAAATACCTTTGAAGGGGATATTTTATATCCTTCTAGGATGAGGATTCTTCCATTTTCTAGATGCTGTGATCATTTATTTGTGGATTAGGGGCACAATGTGCCAATTCTGGCAACTGGATAATGCACAACATGGGACACAGCTGTGTCCTCCCCGATCCCCATAGAGTTACTGAGAGCCCCTGCACTCTGATCGGCGCCCAGCACACCTGCCAAAATGTGATACGAAGAACCTGAGAACTTTGATGTGATACATTCCTCTGGCAAATGAGAATATGAGCCGGACTGCCTAGTTACTTGTTATAGTAATGAACTCTGCTTTGACCAAGGAAAGGGGGTATGGAGGAAGGCAGAGGGAGAGGAATGAAAGAAGGACTGGAAGGGAGGGAGGGAGGAAAGGAAGGGGGAGGAAGGAGAAGGAAGGAGAGAACCGAGGAAAGGAGGAAGGGAGGGAGGGAGGCAGGCAGGAAGGAAGGAAGGAAAAGGAAGGAAAGGAGGAAAGGAGGAAGGAAGGGGAGGGAGGAAAGGAAAAGAAGAAGGAAGGAAAAAGCCACGGGCTTTCCTTTGGGTAATAATGGCAGAGGAGACCTCTGGGCCAAGGCTTGCGTAGACCCCTTGATCCTGGTGCCAATGTCTAGGTCTTTGAAAATGCAGTGACTTTTGTAGCTTTATTCACAGGGGCTCCTTCACTTGTGAAGCTGTGGCTTGGAGTCGTAGCCTCTGTGTGAACCCTAGCTACCCTGCTCGCTTTTAGGCAGGATCAGTCACAGGGTAGAGTGACCCTCAGGAAAGAATGCTGAACTCGTGGCTTTGCCAGGAATGAGCTCTGGTCTTATAGCAATCTCCTGTCCAGCATATGCCTCAGTTTTCTGATCTGTAAGTTGAAGTAAGAATGCCCAGCCCCACACAGGGTTGTGAGTGTGCAATGAGACCATATATGTGAAAGTACATTGGAAAACCAAATAAAAGTACATGACCTACACGAGATATTCCTAAGAGAGGGTTGAAACGAAAGATACTGTTTTGATCTCAGCCTTGGTTTACCAATAGAAGAAAATGAAAACTGGATTCCAACAAGGGCCCGTAAATTCTCATTCAGCCCCTGACGCCAGTTACCATGGCAACTTGTGACTCGGGTCCAGCAGCTTGTCCGCTGAATCCTTCAGCTGTTGCTTCTGTCGAGTGGGGAATAATGGCTTGTCATCAGGACTTTTATAAAGCACTCTGCATGATTAATAAAAAATGACAGTAATTTAAAATTCTCTGCACAGGGAAAGTAAGCACTGCAAGTGAAAATAAACCTTGGTGCAATATGTTTCCTCTTTCCAGGCAATTGATTCTGAAAACCATGGTTAGCTGACAAGAGACTGCTTAGGAGATATAATTAGCCT